GCCCGCAGTGGCAGGGAACAGGGAATGTGGCCCACTTGGCTCCTGGTGCTGCCCGGCAGACTGCAGTGGGGGCAGGAGGCACTTCTGTGTGTGCTACCTCCTGGCAGGCGTGGCCCGGGGACAGACCCCTGCAGCTGTGCATGGGGAGCCCCTCCGCCTGCCTGCGTGGGATCTGCAGCCCTCCTCCAGCTGGTTCAGGGGCCAGCAGGGGCCCTGGGGCTGTGCTTGGTGGCTTGGATGTGCAGAGGCCTGCTTGGGCCCTTGGTGTCCCCGTTGGGTATCCCGGCCACCTGATATCTGCAAGTCCCTTAACCTCACCCAGGCACCGTCTTGTTCTCCTCGGAGGTCTGATCCTGCTGACTGTGCATGGCTGAACACCTGCTGTTCCCCAGGCACCTCTCGGTATGCCACAGGCACAGGGTCCTCGCAGTGGGCCTGTGGAGCAGGACTCCTGCAGCAAGCTGTATTCGCGACCTGCAGAGTCAACCTCCCTCCTGACTTTTCACTCACCTGCCCATTTCCCCTTCTCTGTCGCCGTTGCCCTGATCCCCCAGTGTCCCCTCTCTTGGACATTTGCTGGAGCCTCCCCAGGTCTCCCTGATCCACTCTTGCTCACCGCAGTGCCTGCTCGTAAAACACTCTGACCCTTTACTCTCCCCCTCAACCACCTTCTGTGGCTCCCCACTGCCCTGAGAACAAAATCCATCCTTACCCGGGCCCATGGGGCCCTGAGTGACTCTGTCCCCACCTCCCCCCATATTCACTCAATGAATTTCTCAAACATAAATGGCACCTGTGCTCACCCCCAGGCCCTGGCTCATCCCTGGGCCTGCGCTCACCCCCCACCCTGTGCCTGTGCTCACCCCTGGGCCTGGGCTCAGCCCCCACCGCTGGCGCTCACCTCCCTGCTCTTGCTCAGTGGCGCCTCCTGCTGGAGTGCTCTCCATACCCTCTCCTTCACCCTCTGGAAGTTCTTCTTCCTCATATCCCCCGGCTCTCCCCAGGGCTGGGCAGAGTCCCTGGCCTGAGACCCTCCAGGGCCTGGATCCTGCGGGGTTCACATGAAGTCCCCAGAGCTAGCCCGGGGCTCAGCAGAGACCCCAGAGTGTCTGTAAATAAATGAATGCCGCCCACCCTTTCTGACCCCACCACAGCCAGACCCAGCGGTGACATGGGGCATTTGTGTCTGAATTCCCACTTCCACCCGGATCCATCCTCAGAACCTCCTTTGGCCAGGACCAGATCCTGGAGACCCTGGAGAGGCTCCCTCATCCTCTCCTGCTCCCATCTTTGAGGAAACGATGTCATCATTTTTTTTGGCATTCACTTCCAAACCTGCTGATGAAGTCAAAGCTTATTTTTTTCCCTATTTGCAGTGCTGTGCACCTGCCTCCTCTGTCAAGTTTCAAAACTTTTACATCACTGCCCTATAAAATCCTGTACCCGTTAACAGGCCCCATTCCTGCCTCACCCTGCCCTCCTGGTAGCCACCAGTCTCCTTTCTGCCTCAGTGGATGTGCCTGTTCTGGATATTTCATATACATGCAGTCATGCAGTACATGGCCTTTTGTGTCTGGCCTCTTTGGTTCAGCATAACATTTTCTGGTTACACATGGTGTAGCGCTCAGTCGTCCTTCGTTCCTCTTTATGGCTGAATAATACTCCATCGTACGGATGGACTGGAATTTTTGCTGGGTCTGCCTTTTGGCTACTGTGAATTCTGTTGCCATGAACGTGCATACCATGTTTTGTTTGAGTCCCTGTTTCCAGTTCTTTTGGGTGGATGCCTGGGAATGGAATTGGTGGGTCATATGGTTATTCTATGTTTAAATTTTTGAGGAACCGCCAAACCGTTTCCCTAACATTTGTTTTTTTTCAAGTTGGCAGGAAACGTGGCTCAGGTCGGGAGGGGTTGGAAACTGGGTTTCCTAAGCTCGTGGTGAGTGAGGGTGGCACGAGGTTACTGGAGTCGTTCCCCGTTCAGCCCCACTGGCATGTGAGGACGCTGGGCGGGGGGCTGGTGGGGGAACCCCTTGGTAGGTGAGGGGCCGAGGTTCCAACCCCATGTTCCGGGGCGGGCACTATGTAAATCCCAGGCACTGGAAAGCCAGCCAGCCGCGGGGTGCTTTAGGAAGGTGTCACCCTGCCTGGTCTCTGGTGCCCGTGTGCACCGTGGTGTGTGTCAGGGGCCTGTCACCCCCAGGCAGCATCTCACTGGGCAAAGGGGGAAAGAAAAGCTGTAGTAAATGAGACCTCTCGGCCACCTTGTGCAACTCAAAATCCAATCGCAATTTGGAAGTGGCCTGTGGTGCCCTTGGAAGAGGGGCAGACCTCGGGAACAGCACCCTGCAGAAGTGATGGCCTCATCTCCTCCGAGAGACCGGGAGCTGTTTAACACCTAGAGAGAAGGGAATCGAATTTACTTTGCTGCATGAGATGAGCAGGGTCTGCAGACTTTGAGTGGAGCTCTAGCAAAAAGAATTTTAGAACAGGGCTGGGTCTTGGTGGCCACAGCTGTCCTCTCTCGCAGGGCCAGACTCTTGCTTCCGGCTGCAGAAAGGATGTCTCATTGCTCTTGGGGCCGGGCAGGGCTAGCTGTGCCTTGCCTCCCCATCATAGCGTCACTGGTGACTGGGCTGCAGCTGTATCATTGACAGTCCTGGTGACAGTAGTACTGGGAGTTCTGGTTTGCTGAGCACTTACTGTGTGCTGGGCGCTGCTGAGTGCCTCCTCTCCGCCACCTGGCCTTTCCTGGGGTCCTCGCAGGAGGACTTAGGCAGTCGGAATATGCACAGACATCTTCAGTAGTGCATTTGTGATTCCGATGCCTTCCTATTTATTCCACATCGTACTGGTTTCCATATATCCATGCTGATAATACGCTTCTCTTTAAATTATGCCTAACTAAATGAAAATGACAGGCCTGGGGCTAGATGGCTGCGGCCTGGGTAATCTCTATACCAAAGTCCCTATGCAAAAGTGGCACATGAATATCTGATGTTTAGGGAACACTGCGTGTTTGGAGGTTCAGAGAGGGCAAGTGACTTACCCAAGGCCACGCAGCTTAGCGATGGTGGAGCGGGACGTGTTCCCATGTTCACGGGAATTGCGCCGCACATCTTGTCTCGGGGCTGGGAAAGCCCACGCAGGCAGGACTGAGGTGGTGGTAGATGTGTCAGTCTTGGCTCTGGAATTCCTTGGCTTTTCTGTGTTTGAAGGATGGACAGCAGCCAGTTGAAGGGTCGCCTCCTCTGCGACTCCTTCTTTCTCTGTGTGAGCCCAAACTCTTGGTGGCACGTGACAGAAACCCAGCTTGGGCTGCCAAAGACAAAACGCGCAGAGGGAGTGCCCTGGCTCCCCTAAGGAAGCGAGCAGGCTTCGACCTGCCTCTGGCCACCATCGGACACAACCTGCCCTTTTGCCCTGCCTTCCTGTGGGTGGGTGTGGATCTCAGGCAGGCTCCTGCTGCATAGTGGCCCCCAGAGCTCCAGGCTTTCATTCCCAGCTTAGATCCCCGGCAGAGAGCAGCTTTCTCCTGATTCCAGCATCAAAAGTCTCAAGGCAGATTCTCATTGACTCCTATTGAGTCATAGGCTCATCCCTGAGCCAGTCGCTGGCCCAGGAGCGTGTAGGACTCTGATTGGCCACGACCGGGTCACATGACCATCCCTGGAGCCTGGGGAGGGAGGAAGGGTCAAGTCTACACTAATGAGAGAGGGGGTGGGGCCTGGGAGGCAGTCAGGGCCCCCAACCTTAACCTTCCTCCCATTGCCCCTCCACATGAGGCCTCCAGGGCATGCCTGCTTGGAGGACGGTCACCCTCTTCAGGTCGGGGGAGGGGGTGTTCTGATGAAATTGCAGGGCTGGGTATACTGTTTCCCCTCCTGACCCCTAACCTTGTATAATGCAGCCTCAGTCCTCCGCCGTGGAGGCCCACATCCAGGCGCTGGGTCCCTGTGCCAGGGTGCATTTCCCTCAGCTCTGGGGCAGGGGGTGTGCAGTTGTGGGGGTGCTAGAGAGGGATTTGCATGAGGCAGGACCCAATGGACACACCTTTTCTGAGGGGCTGGTTCAGAGAGAGTGTGGAGGGGGCCTCGGTCTGGGATGGGACCCTGTTGTAAGCCCAGCAGGCGGCGTGGAGCTGTGGCTGGCAGAGGAAGGGGAGAAGCCTTGTTGGGGGCGGGGGGGCTTAGGGGTTTCCTAGCAAAGGCAGCTTCGGAGTAGGGGCCACCGTGGGTCCCTGGCTGGGCCGTGTCTTCTCTGTGGGGCTGTTTTTCCATCTGTGAAGCTGCCAGCCTCCCTCGTGTTACTCCTCTGGCATGGCCATGAGTAGATCCTCTCCCATGGAAGGCGCCAGTATCTGCCCCAGGAGCCGTTTGGGGTACCTATCCCTAGGCTGCAGGACCTGACTGACTGTCATTCTGCCCTTGGCTCTTCCTGGCGTAGCCCTCTGTGTCCTAATCCCACCTCCCAGCTTGCGTCTGGCTAACCTCATATCAGTCTTGCCCCATGTCATGGTATCAGCCTCCTGCACAGGGTCACAGCCTTGCCCGGATCATGCTGTGGCCTGTGGCCCGCCCGAGCTGGCCCTGGCCCCTGCTGCCGGGTTCAGCGGTGCTGTCCCTGCTGGCTGCCCCTCCTGGGACAGGTGCTTTCTGGGAACTCTGCCCCGTGACTCAGAAACCCGGGGGGCCATGGAGTGAGGTTGGGTGGGCTGAGGGGGGCTGGGAGCCATCTGAGTGGTGGTGAGGGCCCGGGTGGGGAGGAGGCCTCTGGTCCCTTGCGTGGCTTGCATGGCTCGGAGGGACCTTGAACGCCACGCCTGTCTTCTGGTGCTGCCGGAGAGCAGGTGAGTGTGGCAGTGGATGAAGGAGGATCCAGGCAGGCCCTTGGGTGCCTGCATGTCCTCATGGGACCACAGGAACGACTTGGGAACGCACGTGCGGAGGAGCCGCCTGCCCCGTGGCTGATCTTGTTTTTCCTTTCTTGTTTTCTCACAGGTGCCAGTGACGGGGTGGCCTGTGAGCTGATGACGAGGACTGGCTTTTAATCCTTGGTGGCGATTAAGAGAAAGCTTATCGGGGCCTGGGAGCCACCCTGACCCCCACCACCATGTCGGGATCCACACAGCCTGTGGCACAGACGTGGAGGGCCTCTGAACCCCGCTACCCGCCCCACAGCCTTTCCTACCCAGTGCAGATCGCCCGGACGCACACGGTAAGAGGGTGCACGTATGTGTGCCTGGGGCTACCTTTGAGACCCTTTTTCCATTCCACTGAGTCTTCACCCCTTCCTTTCTCCTGGGAGCCAGGCTCGCATGGCTCTGAGCCTCCCAGGGCACAGGGGAGGCCTCCACAGAGACTCCTGGTGTCTGAAGCCTTTTCTAGAACATCTGGTAAAATCTCTTTGCTCCCATTTTAAAGCTGGGAAGATGGAGGCTGGGGCCAGGCTGAGCTGGGGCTCTGCCCTCTCTTGACTGTCAGTGGGATTGGCACGTGAATGTGGAGCTCCTGCTGTGTTCACTGTCCTGCAGCCCAGCCTCACCTCTGCTCCCCCGCTGCCGCAGGATTGGGTAGGATTGGGTAGGATTGGGGTGACTTCTGGGGGGCAAGGGGGCCTAATAGGTCACAGCTCCCCTTCCTTGCTGTCCTCCCGTCCCGTGTGTATTCGCCTTGGTGAGGCTCGAGGCTCTGAGATGAGGAGGCCCCGCACAGGTTGCGTTTCTGCCTCCCTGACACGGGGGTCCAGGGTGCTGGCTGTGTCTTTGGGGAGCCCGCCCCGTGGCCGGGGCAGATGGCCTGTCCTGGAAGCAGATGGGCCTCGGTGCCTGCCCACGTGTGTGCCCTGGTCGGGTCTCCTAAGCCGCACCCCACCCCGCCTCACCTCCCAGCGGGGGCCCCATTTCCTGCCTCTTCTCTCACTGCGTGGTGTGGCTAGGACAATGGGCCTTGGTTGGCATTTACGAGGTACCTGCTATATACCATGTCTCTGGGTGTTTGCCAAGCGGCTTTCAGAGTTGTGGACCTCCCCCTTGTGACCTCCTGGCTGCTGAGTGATGGATGTGAGGCCTGGAGGTCACAGCTGGAGCGGAAGCTGACTCTGCCGGCCACCGTGGGGGGTACGTGTGTGCGTGTGTGTGCATGTGTCTGTCCTGCCTGTCTGGTGTGGTCCCCTCTTGTGAGAACCAGAAAGGAAGCTGTGTGGGAGGACTTTTCCATCAGTAAGCGAGAAGGTTTTGCATATGAGCTCACTGGCCCTGCCTGGGGGAGTCCCTGACACAGTGGCCTCCTGTAGGTTTGGGCCCCTGGGACGCTTTGCAGAGCCGGCTGTCGTCAGTGGGTGCATTGTGGATCCCTCTTAGGACGGCATTTCCCTGTGTAGAGTCATTGCATTCTCCCCAGCGGCCCCGTGAAAGAGCAGCTCGCGCTGTCATCCCACTTTGCAGATGAGGAGACCGAGGCCCAAGAGGTTCAATCACAGGCCTCAAGTGTGATTGCAATTGCCCTAAGTGGGGAGGCTGCCACAGCATCGGGGCTCCAAGCCTCTGTGTCCCCCCACTCCCCCATGCCTTTATTTATTGAGCACCTACTGTGTGCCCAGGGCTAAGGAATAGACTCCCGGTAGGAAACGATTTCATATTTTGTCATCATGGTCTTTATCTGTCACCACCACCAACAAAAAGAAGAGCTCTTGTTAGCTGAGCACCTACTACAGGTCAAATGTTCAAAGCCCCGAGTGTATATGGTTGTGTGCCTTCCCCCGATCACCCCAGAGTGGTACGACTATCACGCTCTGTGTTTTGTCAATGGGAAAACATTTCACAGGGTAGGAAACTGGACGAGTTGCGTAACCTCTCTGAACCTCAGTTTTGTCACCCATAAAGCGGGGGTACTCAGAGTACCCGTCTCCTAGATTCTCATGAGGGGTAAAGGGGATATGTTGAATGTTCTTAAGATGGCGCCTGGCTCAGGGCCAGCCCACTCTGTCCGTTTGCCGCTGCCATTCCTTGGTCTTGTTGCTGTTCCTGCTGCTGCCCAGAGGGGAACCTGCCTGCCCCGAGGGGAGGGGCACTGGCAGGGCCACTGGCTTCTGGTTTCTTGTCCTGTCCTGTGGAGGTTCCCACTCTCCTCCACCGCCCCCACCCCACTCCTAGCCTTGGGGAGTCCTCAGGCTGCTGTAGCCTCTGCCCTCCCACTTCTCCTGCCCTTTGCCCCAACTGGGCCCTCAGGGTCACTGGCTGAGCCTAGATACCTCCCATTCTTCTCCTGCTGGGCTGTCAGTGACGCAGGGTATGGGTGGACAGGGCCAAGCGCTCACCACCCCCTCCAGGCAAGAGGCCAGGGAGTGAGCGGGGCCCAGCCTGGCAGCCACAGGTGAGAACATTCCTGTCCTTGTGTGGGGGCAGCAGGGCCCACCTGTGTGTGCTCCTCCCTGGGGGAGCCGCCCCTCATCGGACCCTCCTGCCTCATGGTAGGGCTGCCCATCCAGGGAACCCTGCTTGTCTCTTGAAGGGTAGGAGGAAGGGTTCTGGGCACTCTCAGAAGGGCCCTGCTACCCTGGGCATATTGCAGCGTGGAGCCACTTTCTTGCTGCGGGTTGGAGGTGAGCTGGGGGCTGTGATCTGGAGGCTCCTCCCTGGCAGCCCCTCAGCCCCCAAACCCTTCCTGTCCTTTTAATGGGCGAGACCCACTTCCAAAGATACCACCCTCTTCCCGAGCTCCTCATCAAGCCACAGAAAGACAGACCCCCGGGGAAGGGGACGGTCAGTGGCGGGAACCTGGCTGTCCTGGTTCCTTGTACAGTAGCTGAGGCCATTGTGCTGGGATCCACGAGATGCCTCAGTGACCCTCCCAGATTCAGGTCACCCCCACACATACTCCCGACAGGCCTGCCTCCTGGGACAGCCCCTCCTGTCCGGAGCATCCTCTTCCTGGCGCTTTGGGCACGGGGCTGCTTTGATGGCAGGTCTTCCCTGGAGCCTGTGAGACCTCAGTGTGTCTTCGAATCCCTCTCCGTGTCCAGCTTGCTGAGTGGCATTGGCCCGCTCACAGCCATGTGGAACGGCCTCAGTTTCCCCACCTGCAGTACCGGTGTCCTGGTGGGTCTGCGCATTGGTGGCAGTGTCTGTGTGCAGCAGGCGCGGGGTAGTCATCTCTTTCCTCCTGCAAGGGTGGCAGGAGACCCAAGCAGAGCCTCTTCCCCCTGGGGAACCACAGGACCCTGGATGCCGAGCCGGCGGTGGAATGGTGCGGGCCGTGTAAGCCGCTGCCTCTGCCCGTGCTCTGCCCTGGCGTCATCTGCGGGCTGCTGGTGAGTGATTCCCAGCGCAAATGGGAGGCTTCACTTAGAGGGGGCTTGCAGACAGAGGCCTGGACCCTGAGACCATGGAAAGCCCCCAGGTTCCCTGACTCAGCCTCAGCCATGCTCCAGGCTTCTATATGCATCATCCCTGCCCTCCCGCTTCCCACCTGCCGCATCCCTCCGTGCCCCGTTCTCTCCATCCTCAGGGCTCCAGCTTCTCAGCTTCTCTCCGTGACAGTTAGCAGGACCCTATGTCTCTCCCTGAGGGTCCTCGGGAAGCTAGGGTCTCCAGGGTTGAGGGTCCAGTAACAAAACGCTCACAGCTTTTGTTTTCCCGGAGATCAACGCATCCTCCTCTCCTGGCCTCCTTTCAGGCTTTCTGTGGCCCAATTCCATTCTGCCTTCTTCGGGTCCTCTGGGACCCTGAACGCTCCTGAGCTCCTCCAGACCTTGGGCTAAACGAATGCAGTTAAAAGCAGGGACACAGAGTCTGAATGCCGGCGTGACCCTTTTCTGCTGTGCGGCCTTGGGCAAGTTACTTAACCTCTCTATGCCACAGTATTGAAGACTGGTTCATAGCACCGGTTCTGGAGCCACGTCCTGCCCTAGTGATGTCCTAGCTGTGAAACCGGGGGCAAGTGGCCTTACCGTCCCGTGCCTCAGTTTCCCCATCAGTTGAGCAAGGATGGTTTTAAGATTGAGAAAATCCAGTTAGTTGATAGGTGCAGAGCCCTTCGCACAGGGTCTGGACAGAGTAAGCAGACATTTGATATAATCAATAATGTAATGATGACGATGCTATTCTTACAACATCGCCTTTAGTAGCCTTTTCTGTCTTGCCCCAAGGGTACACTCTGGGCTTTGCCCCTAGGGCAGGGGTGAGCACACCTTCTCTGTAAATATTTCAGGCTTTGCAGGCCATGCAGCTGCCCTTCTCGGCCAGTACGGTGTGAAAGCAGCTCAGCCAGGGCGTAAGGGAGTGGGCGTGGCCTGCGCCTGTGACACTGGACACCGCTGGCCAGGCCTGCCTTGGCCTTGCGCCCTAGTGTGCTGACTCTTGGCCTAGATTAGCGCTTATCAGACTCCTATAGGAAGGACTGGTCTGTTTCGTTTCCAGTTTGTCACAAATCGATACGGGGTCCCATTGCACAGATGCAGGCCCGGTCCGGCAGGGTCAGAGTTGGTTGTGCCCTCGGATGCCAGGGTTGCGCCGACCCCAGGGTCTGCATGCTGTCATGTTCTGTGCCCACCTTGTTGCGGTCGGCAATGTTGCAGACCTTTGGTGGAGTAGTACTGCCCTGGGCCAAGGCTCCCAGACCCTGGAGACTGCCTGGGCCAGGCTGGGACAGGTGGGCACGTGGGGGTCACTGGGAGAGGCTAGACTGCGGAAGGCTTTGCAGTGTCCTGAGTGCCCTGGGGGGTCCTCCATTAGCTTCATGGCCCCTCTTGCAGCTCAGTTCCTGCTGCTTGGTGATGGCTTTTAAGAGGCTGTGGAGGGATGATTTGGCCCTCAAAAGAGAGGCTGGTGGGAGCTCCCATGCTGGGGGAGATTCATTCATTCATTCATTCATTCATTCATTCATTCATTGAGAGCTCCCATGCTGGGAGATCCATCCATCCATCCATCCATCCATCCATCCATCCATCCATCCATCCATCCATCCGGCAAATACTTATCGGGTGTCTTGGGCCCATCCTCTTCCAGGCCCTTGCAGTGCAGCTGTGAACAGAACAGGTAAGCATCCCTGTCTCAGGGAGCTGACCTCCTCGTGGGGAATGGCAAGTTGGGAAGGAGACGAAGGGAAGGGCTGAGGTTGGGGGAGCCCACATTTAAGTAGAGGGTTGGGGAGGAGCCTCACTGAGAAGCTGCTTTTGGAGCTGAACCTGGAGGACGGGAGAGGGCCAGGCATGTGGGAATCTGGCTGAGGAATGTTCCAGGTAGCAGGAACAGCCTGTGCAAAGGTCCTGAGTTGGGAGCTCTCTTGACTGCAGCCGCCATCATTCCGGGAGAGACCCATGAATGCAGCCAGGGTCTAGGAACGGGCTGAGTTCTTCCTTTGCTTTCCCATGAATTCAGGGTCTAGGAATGGGCTGAGTTCTTCCTTTGCTTTCAGTGTGCAGTCCCAGGCATTCCCGTGACATCTTCTGGAGTAAGGAGCCCTATCCAGGAGCCAGAGAGGGGCACTCCTTTCCCGCAGAGGAACTTCTCCCAGCCCATGTTCAAACATTTCCCGCGAATCTAGCCCCTTTCTCCTCTTTGCCCCCAGCCACTCCTCCCCACCCTTGGGACCCAGCCAAGAAGGCACCAGCTGGGATTCCCTCCTGGGTGAACAGCTCTTTCTGGTGGCCTCTCACCTTCCCCAGGAGTTTTAAGGGTGTAATTTATTGGGGGCCCTGATTTCCAGCTTCAGACGTGCCGTGGTCAGGGAGAAGCCCTCCGAGGCCAGGGGGCATCACCTGAACGGGTTTTCCTGCCTCCCTTTCTGAGCAGCTGGGTCAGTCTCCCTCTCTCCAAGTCAGATTTGCTGCTGTCCTACTGGGACAGGTTAAGAGCCTGGGGACCGTTCCCTCTTGTCCCTCCTCAGAAAGCCAGCTCAGCCTTTGCCTTGCATCTCAGAACGTACCCCCTTCTTGCTGTGTGGCGTGGACAAGCCACTTACCCTCTCTGTGCCTCTGTATTCTCATCTTTGTGTGGGGCTTCTTGTAATATCCACCTCACAGGGCTGCTGTAGGGATGAACTTAATATATTTCAAGCATTTAGCTGCAGGTGCACACAGGCAACTTATTACTGTGGGGTATTATTGTTGTTTTTATGATTAATGTTGTCACGCGGGGAGCTCTCCTGCTCGGAGACATGGCGAGGTGGTTTCCAGCCTGGGTGTATTCCAGCTCATGGGACCCCTGGGGCCCCACCTCGAGTCAGTTTCTCTGGTGGGGCCTCCCTGATTCTTGCCTTCCCCTAGAACCTCCAGGCACTCTTGTCGGGGGAGTCCCTGGGCTCAACCCTGGTGACCTGCTTCAAGCCTCATGGTGGGGGCCAGTGTGGACTGAGTGTCTCCCAGGTTTAGGGTCCAGTAACAAAATGCCCACAGATCTCGGGCAGAAACGGCCCCCAAGATGCTCCTGGGAGGATCTACTAAATTGGGAAACGAAGGCCAAAGGGTTCATGCAGAGGCCTCCCCAGCCCCCGCTTTGGGCCTCCTCCACCATGGTTGGCTGCTGTGAGCACTATCTGGCCGAGGCCCTCTTCCGAGGGACTGGACCATCTGCCCTGCCTCTCTGCCCACTTGGCCTTGGTACGGGAGAGCTGGGCGGAGAGGATCCTCCTGGCAGACTGCGAGGCCTGCTGCTTTCTTCTCACACCTCTGTGTGTGTGGCAAGGTCTTGGCTTGGCAGCTGCGTCATCGTCAGCCCAGTGGCCTCCTCCACTCCCTCCCTCCAGCCCCGTCTTCTCCCTTCTCCTCCCACTGAGAGCACCCGGAGTCTTGTGCTAGACACTGCGGGATGCAGGAGGAGGCTCGTGCCTTTTCTGCTTTCTGCAGGCTGCCCTCAGCCTTGGGGGAATCCCTCAGAGAGGTGAGGAAGATGAGTGTAGGAGGTGCCGGCCTCCTTTAATCTGGGCTGGGCACCCATTTCAAAGAGGAGAAACTGAGGCCCAGAGGGTTCGAATAACAGGGCCAAAGACATACCTTCTGTTGGAGGCCTTGCAGCTTTTGGTGTCTACATTGGACTGTCCAGGGAGGTCCTTTCCCCAACTTTTCCAGCTTCTGAGGCTGCCAGGGTCCCCATGGATTCCACTTGCTCATCCTTCCTGGCTTCTGGGCTCCTGGGCTCTTATGTGCTGATTTTGTTGGGTCTGCAACAGATACGTTATCAACGCATCTACCTGGCATTGTGTCTGATTCTCTTTGCAAAAATAACTGCCTTGTTGAAAAAGCCAGACAACAAAAGAATGACTAGATTTTTATGGAAAATCGGGAAAATTCAAGGAAGGTGCCAAGAAGAAACGAAGTCACCTGCAATCCCACTCTCTGAAGCCTCACCTGTGTCAGACATCACTAACTGATTACCGCAAACAGCATAACTGAGTGTTCCAGGCAGGCAGGACTAATCTATTGGGATTGGTGCATAAGTGAAGCCTGCCTTGTTTAGTTTAAGAGACTTGTTACTGTCTTTTTTTTTTTTAAACACAGTTTAATGTTTCTCAAATCTGGGTGTACTTGGCAATCGGTATACATTTAATTTGTTGATACTGAGTTTTCTCCCCTATGATAATGGATAATGTGTTAGAGAAAAAAGTATTTGGACACTTGTTAAGCAGGAAGACTATACAGGACAATTGTGCTGTCAGTGTCCAGACTGTCACAATAAGGGAGAGAGACCGGGCTCAGCTCCAAATACGGCCAAGACAGCTGGGGCCTCATAGCCTAGCCGCAGGGCGGAGGGAGGGGTCAGTGGATGGAAAATTACTAAGAGGAGCGCTTGAGGGTGGGGGGTTCCTCTAGACTGACTTACCAGGATTCCTGCAGCTGGGCAGAGCCCCGCGAGGCCAAGGCCAAGGTCGAGGCCCTGTGGAGAGAGGATGGGTTAGAGGAGCTTGACTCTGGTGTGGGCAAGGAGAGTCTTCGTCAAATGGACGGCGGTGTGTTATTAAAGGAGGAGGGTTTGCCTGAGGCTTACCCTTCTGGCTGTGATATGAGCCTTACCTGCGGGAGTTTCTCTTTTACAGGGCAGGCTTGGGGTCAGGGGGCGCTTCGTTCTGAAACCTGGTCTTTGGGCCTCGCTGGCCATTGGCTGTTTGTCGCTGTCACTCACCACCATCCATCCTTCTCCTGGCGAGTGAGGCCCGAGCCTCGTTCCCTCACGTGGGCATCACTTACCCACCCTGCCAAGAGCTGGGCATCTAGGTTGGGCCTTTTCCCAGTTGTTGCTGCAAATGCGTTTCTGTTTTTACAAATAATGCTGCCCCATATGCACCTTCTGTCCTGTCTTCCCAGGCCTGCATTTCCAAGCTGCAGCTCCTCAGGCCAGAGGGACCCATTGCCTGGCAGGGGTAGGATAGGGTGGGAGGGTAGAAAAGTGAAGACAGCTTCCTCTACTCTCTCCTCCTGCAATCAGCGCCAACGTGGCTGGCAGACAGACACCGTGGTCAGGATGGTTCCAGGCCTGTACTAGCCTGTGGCCTCAGACAGCCCCATCAGCCCTCCCAGACTTGATGGTCTCACCTGGAAGGTGGGCGTGATCGTGAGACTGTGGGAGGCTGTGTGGGAAGGACGCAGCCCAGGGCCGTTCAGCCATCTGTGTTCCTTCTTCTCCTTGGCGTTCAGCCCCAGGGGTAGCCTCTGGCCAGACGGTCCCTGAAGTTCCCTGCAGGACTTGGGCTTATCTGCCTAGGGCAGGAGCGAGCCTAAGCAGGGAGTCCACGGCCTTGCCTGCTGTGCCCCACCATGCCCGTGCCCGCCTGCGCTCACCGCTCCTCTGTCCCCTCCTGCAGGACGTCGGGCTCCTGGAGTACCAGCACCACTCCCGCGACTATGCCTCCCACCTGTCGCCTGGCTCCATCATCCAGCCGCAGCGGCGGAGGCCCTCCCTGCTGTCCGAGTTCCAGCCCGGGAATGAACGGTGAGGAGAGTTGCTGCCTCCTTGTCCCTTCTCTGGAGCCCCTTCTCAGATGGAGAAGCAGAGGCCCGTGGTGGAGCAGGAGCACCCAGGGTCCTGTGAAATGAGGGGGTGTTGGGCCATGTGTTCACCCTTGACCAGGTGTGGCCGGGGTGAGGATGAGGACGAGCAGGGAAGAGCCACATGGCCCTCAGACTTCCAGCGTGGAACTTCAGTGGGCTCTGTGGGTTTGGGCAGCAGTGGGGACCTCTAAGCTGGGCTGCCGCCGGGCTGGGCTGCTGTGGGAAGATTCGAGTCCACACCTGGTGCCCCTGGGGCCCCGCCCTCCCCTCCCATTCCTCCTTCTTCTCCAGCTGGCAGAGGACGCCCCCTGGTGTGTGCCTGTGCCGGGCCAGCCTTACTTTCCTTGATCCAGGTGGGAGGGGAATGAACAGGTGAGGTGGGGGCGTGGGAGGGAGGTGGGGCGGGGAGCTGGGGGGACTACAGCAAGGGGAGGGCCAGGGCTGGGCCGGAGCCAGCTCTCCATACATTTATTTGGGATCGTTAGGCCATGTTCTTTCTCCCACCATCTCCAGGAGCTTCTGCTAGAGACGGCGGAAGTGTGGGGAATTGTGCCTGTTTCTCAGATGGAGAAGCTGAGGCTGCGAGTTTGAGGATGGGCCCTTGTTTACTCAGCCAGGACTAGAAGTCGAGGCACCAGGCCCCCGCCCTTCATGGTACCATGGAGGTGTCCCAGGGCCCCAGAGCAGGCAGGGCTGGTGAAGTCAAGTGGGTGCAGGTGTCTGGAGGAGGAGGGGAGGCGGAGGCAGTGTGCCTCCTGTGCCTGGATTGGTTTCCTGGGGCTGCCATCACAGCGTGCCACAAACTGGGTAGCTTCAAGCCACATAAGTGCATTCCCGTGATCTGAAGTCAGGGCGTCCGCAGGGCCGCGCCCCCTCGGAAGCCTTGAGGGGAGGACGCTTTTCTGTCTCCTCCAGTTTCTGGGGGCTACAGGCATTCCTCGTCTGTGGCTGCGTCACTCCAATCTCTGCCTCTGCCTCACGTGGCCATTTCCTTGTCTGTCTCCATGTTCTCTTGTTGTGTTACAAGGACCCCAGTCATCCTAATCCAGGATGGCCTCCTGTTAGCTTAATTCCATCTGCAATGACTCTAGGTCCAAAGAAGGTCTTATTTTGAGGTTCCAGTGGCCGTGGATTTTGGGAGGACATTATTCGAGCCACTGCAGTGCTGCTGTCATGTTTAAGTGAAAACACCATGCGCTTCCTGCCAAGCACCGTGTAATGGTGAAGCCCTAGGTTCTGGGCCTTGAAGAGGGGGATGTCTTGGGGCCCAGCTTTGGAGGGACAAGGACTTAAGGGAGGTGAGCCTAGAGGGGTGGTTACCTCGCCCCACTGGGTGGGGCCAGCAACATGGCCCCAGCCTATGCTGCAGTGGGCAGAGTTTAGTCAATCTACAGCACTGATTGAACACCTACTGTGCGCCAGTACCTGGGGACAGCCATGAACAAGACCACCCTGCGTTCATTCTAGGGTGAGGGAGGTGGCCAGGAAACACCTGTGGCCGCCGAGCACGTGGGGAGGGCAGTGGAGAGAGAGCGGACAGGCGGGTGTGGTGTGGTCTGGCCCGGGCCAGGAGGCGCCATCTGCACCAAGATGTGAAGGGGAGGGGAGCTCACGTGAAGGGCCTGAGGTCTCAATGCTCCAGGCAGAGTCCAGCAGGTGCAAAGGCCCTGGGGCAGGAGTGAAGTCGGAGGACAGCGAGGGCCAGGCCAGACAGGGCTTGTGCAGGAGGGGAACGGCTGTGGATTCCCTGCTCAGCCTCTGGGAAAAGCATTTCAGCAAGGGCCACATTCAGGCTGTTTCTGGTGGGTGATGGCTGGAGCCTGAGAGGTGGAGGCCAGGAGTCCCAGCTCTGTGGGGTGTGCTTAATTAGGCAAGGCCATGCCCTCTCTAGGCACACTGTGGAGGAGCATTCAGGAGAGCCAGTCGCTGGGGATGCTGGGCAGCTCCGGTCTGCACCGGGCTGCTGGGCTGAGTTGAGAAGGTGGTTAGGCCAGGTTCAGCAGCAAGAGTTCTGCGATCGGCCAGCGATGTCTGCCCTGCGTGGGTGAGAGGGAAATGGCATCACGGGTGCTGTTATCTGCGTTAGGCTCACAGTGTTTCCTGAATGAACTGTGTCTGTGAACCACCCGGCAATCTTGTTAAAATGCAGAGTCTGACTCGGTAGGCCTCAGGTAGTACTGGAGATTCTGCATTTGTAACCAGCCCCAGGTGGGGACGGTGGGCTGGTCCACGGACCGCCCCGTGTGGCAAGGGGGGGCAGTCACTCTGGGGCATTCCAGTACCACTGTAGCGCACTCCCTCCCTGTAAACGTCTTTGGTGAATGTGGACCTGAAGGAAGGCAGTGCTGCATTGGAGTCCTGCCCCGCGGTGGGACCGTGGGAGGTGGGCTCCTGTGAGCACCTTTCTCGCAGGATCATACAGAGCACGGCACGCAGTAGGTGCGTGGCGCAGAGGGCAGTCGGGGCCTCGGGAGTTCTCAGCCGCAATCTCCTGTGTGACGCCGATGCTTTAACTCCCGCAGGTCCCAGGAGCTCCACCTGCGGCCAGAGTCCCATTCGTACCTGCCCGAGCTGGGGAAGTCAGAGATGGAGTTCATTGAAAGCAAGCGCCCTCGGCTAGAGCTGCTGCCCGACCCCCTGCTGCGACCGTCACCCCTGTTGGCCGCTGGCCAGCCTGCGGGATCTGAAGACCTCACCAAGGTAAACCTGGGTCCCCAGCCGGGCGCTTGTCTGCCCCTTGAGGTTCTGCTGCTGGTTGGGTTGGGTGGGAGGTGGCGGGTAGGTGTGCAGGGAGGGGGCAGCTCGGGCAAAGGCTTGGAGGTGGGCCAAGCACCGAGTGCACGGAGCTGGGCGGCAGGAGGAGGGCAGGCGCCGGGTCTCTCTGGAGGTGCCAGAGTGTGGGAAGAAGTGGGGAAGGTGTTCCAGGTGGGCAGAGCAGCAAGTGCAAAAGCTCTGGGGCAGGACCAGGCTTGTGGTCATGGGGCAGCTGGCGTGAGGGAGGGGAAAGCTGGGAGGGGAGGGCCTGGGGTGCCGTGGAGCAGAGAGCTGCCGTCTGGTGGGGGAGAGGACGGTCCTGTGGTCGGTGGTCAGCTTTCAGCACATTCTGAGAGCTTCCTCGAGGGCGGGTTGCTTGGTTCTGTGAGTGCTTGGAACAGAGGGCTTAGTGACCCCTGTCTTGAGCCCTGCACAGCAGGCAGCCCCCTGGGCCCCGAACCCAGGCCTGTGAGGCGGACAGCTCGGGGCTCTGCCAGGAGCCTGGGGCTCCTGGATTCTTAAGGGGCAGGGAGGTGAGACTCCAGAGTCCCCCGAAGTGACCTGGGACAGAGTTGGCTCAGCGCTAAAGGGGCGGAGCTTGGTTAGGACATGGCCTGGACACCTAGAGCGACAAAGGCTCCTTCCACTGCCCGGTCCAGCCACTCCTTGGGGTACCATGTGGCACCGGGCTGGCTTGGGTTGAGTCTGCAGCCACCCAGGCCTGAGGGACGGTGGATGCAGTTTGGGCAGGAGGAGTCAGACAACTTTAGGCTCATCTGCATCTCCATGGGGAGGCAGCCTGGCATTGCAGGTGGCCCCAGGCCTCACCTGGACGCTCACCTATCCCAGGGCCCTCCGTCCATCTGCTCTCAGGTGACCCAGGTGTGATTTCCACCACCCCCACCTCCACAGCTGTGTAAACTTTGCACCTTTCTGAGCCCCGTTTCTTCCTCACTGATCTGGGACCTTGTGTGCAGGGTGTCACCTGGTCATCTGGGTAGAGGGCTCGGCTGTGGGCCCCATGCGTGGGGACTACTTGGCACCCATGAGCCGGCATGGGTGGTGGTCTGGCTGCAGGGCCAGGCCACTTGGGCCAGACTCGGCCTTCTCTTGGGGAGAGGGGATACCCGCGTGGACCCTGGGATATCCCTGGGGTGGGCTTGGGCTGGCAGGTGGTTGGGGGGGCCATCCTGGGTCTGGGGTGGCAGGGCTTCCCCTCCTGCTCTGAGTGGCTGTGGCTGCGACATCTGCACACCTGCCAGGTACCCACAGGGCTTCCTCTGGGGCCAGGGGAGGGAGGAGCTGGGGTGTCTGTGTGGTTTTTGGTTGGCTTGGCCTCCCTGTCACTGGGGCAACCCCTGCCTCACCAAGTTGTCGTGGGAAAGTGAAGGAAGGAAAATGAACTCCTAGCCAACAGACCACATGCGCCTGAGAGCCCGCTCAGGAATCTCCCCCGGTGGATGCAGCTGTGTCCTTGTTGGCACTCAGGGACTCCACCCTGGCCACCTCCCTGCTCTCCTGCGTACTTCCAGTCCATTCTCTGCTCTAAAATATCCCAATTCCAGCCTTCTGCCCATGCCTGAGACCACCCCCAGCCTGAGCTCACCGTTGCTCTCTGGGAACTTTGCAGTAGCGTCCTGCTGGGTGTCCCTGCTCCTGCTTCCCTCTACCTCCTTCAGTTTATCCTCCAAGCAGCAGCCAGAGGGCTCTTGTAAAGGCAGACGCCTGCGTCCTCCTGTGTGTCCCTCCTGTGCTCCAAACCATCCGTGGTTCCTGTCTCAAGCAGGAAAAAGCCAAAATCCTTGCCCTGGGCTGCATATCCGGCATGATCCAGCACCGTCACCTCCCAGACCTCATCTCCCTGCACCAGTCCTCTTAACCACTCACGTATAGCCTCCCAAGCCACCCTGGAATTCCTCTAACACGACAGGCACGTTCCCACCTGGGGACCTTTGCACGGGCTGTGCCCTCGGCAGGAGCGCCCTCCCCCAGGCACATTCCTCTTTCCTTGTTCCTTCCAGTCCTGGCTGCCCTCCAGGGCCTGCATGGCAGGGGAGACCTGTGGCCAGTCCTGTGGGGACTCCTGAGGCCGCTCATGGCAGAGGCTGCAGCCCCACCACATCCTCCCGGGGTGTGAGATTCAGCCACGGGGTCCCTGCCGACCTTGAAGGGGATCTCTGTGGCCTGGGGCTTGGGACCCCTGCACTTGGGTCTGGGCTTGGGACTGGTGTGGATGCCAGTTCCTCTCTCTCGGGCACTACCCCACTGGGGACCCCAGCCAGCATCCCTGCCCCGAGGCCCAACCCTTCCAGCACATCCTTCCTGCCCCTCCTCCTCTTCCTTCTCTCCTTCTACACATCCCTCCCTCCTTCTTCCTCCCTCCCTTTCTTTCCACCCAAACAGCCCCCCATCCTGCTCACTCCGCTTCACCCCCTGCTTCCTGGGCTCCTGCCATCTCTCCCTGCTCATCCCCTGGGGCTCCCTCCCTACCACAGAGCACTCGCAGCCGCCACCCAGCGCCACCCAGCCTGTCTGCCTGTGGCCGTCTGTCCTTGCCTTCATTACCTGTCCCTCCCCCTCACCTCCCAGCCACCCCTCACCCATCAGTTCTGCCTGCCATCGTCTCCCACCAGTGGCCTTGCCCCTCCGCCATCCACTCACCCCTCCCCCCACCATCCCCTTGCTTCCCCACCCCCTACCCCCATCTGCTCCCCCTGCTTCCCCCACTCGCCTGGAGTCCAGGGCGCTGTGAGCCTAGTCAGCCCTGGCAGGAACTCACAACTCAGCCGGACAAGGGTGCCTCAGGGTTCTTGGCCTGTGGCCATTTCTTGGCTGGAGAGCGACACCTCCCACATGTGTGTCCAGCCTGAGGCCTGCCACGCCTCCAGTGCCCTAGACAGCCCTTTGTTTTCACTCCTCTTTGAAACAGAAAGTGGAACCTAGACGGTGGCGGTGGTGAGGATGTGCACAGATTAAGCACCTGTGGTTTGCTGCTGTGGGAGTTTGCTGTGGTTTCAGTAAAGCTCAGGACATACCAGGCTGGAGGCTTGTTCTCTCTCCAGCTTCCACAGGGGATGCCGACGGCAGGGCTGGTGGGGGAATCGCAGGCAGTGTCCCCGGAGGCTTCTGTCCCCCAGGGTCACTCAGCCGCCCAGCTGTGTCTGACGGCCCAGGCCGGGGTGGGGACTGTGGCCAGGTGGCGTCCTCATCCTGGTTGCAGCCTAGTGCCCAGCCTGCACAGGCCCCTCCCTGCACAGCCCTGGGGCACCGTAAGCTCCTTAGCAGCCTCAGGGCAAAGGCGATCCTCCTCCTGCAGCAGGAGTAGGGGTGGGCGGTGGGGGCGGGGAGCCAGCCCCGGGGAGGGAAGTGGCCACTCAGCCCTGCAGGGTCCCCTTCTCTGCCTGATGCGGCCGGATGGGATTGAATGGTGGACTCATAGGGTGAGGCACCTCCTTTATCAGGAGGTTGGCGCGCAGGAGGCATTCACACGGTGGTAAGAATGCTGACAGTGACGGCGGGTGCCATTAAGTGAGCGCCGACTGCCTGCCAGGTGCCAAGCCATGCCCAGCCAGTGTCATATCCTGCTCTCTTCCCAGCCGGAGGAGACTGGGTCTATGACCTCCCTTTTGTAGACGGCCCCAGGCTGAGCGAGCTGGACGTAGGGGAACGGGATTCAGGCCCAGGCAGCTGGGAATGCACCCCGCGCCTGCCTCCAGGTTGTCCCGCTGCTCTGGGTCCCCTCTGGTCTCCCTGGTGGGGTGCCCTCCTCTCTCTACCTGGCACCCCCATTAGCACTGGAATCTGCTTTCCCCTCTTTTTGTTGTTGTTGTTGTTGCTACAGGAGGCAGGAGAGAATTTTAGCTCGGCCGCCTGGGAGAGATGTTTCCATTTGAACAACTCCCCTGAAGTCGAGCCTGGATGGATAGCAGGCGAGGGTGTGTGTGTGTGTGCATGTGTGTGTGCACGTGTACGTGTGTGTGCGTGTGTGTGTGTGTGCGGGTGTTTGTGTGTGTGTGCATGTGTGTGTGCGCACCTGTGTGCCTGGGTATGTACATGTGCGTGTGTTTGCATGTGTATGTGTGTGTGCATGTGCGTGTGTGTGTGCACGTGTGTTTGTGTGTGTGTGCACGTGTGTGTGGGTGCGCGTGTTTGTGTGTGCGTGTGTGTGTGCATGTGTACGTGTGTGTGTGCACGCGTGTGTGTGGGTGTTTGTGTGTGCATGTGTGTGTCCACCTGTGTGCCTGTGTATGTGTGTGTGCATGTGTTTGCATGTGTGTGTGTGTGCGTGTGTGCATGTGCGTGTGTGTGGGTGCGCATTTGTATGTGCATGTGTGTGCACACGTGTGCGTGCGTTTGTGTGTGTGTGCGTGTGTGTGGGTGAATGTGTGTTTGTGTGTGCATGTGTTTGTGTGTGCATGTTTGTGTGCGTGCGTGTGTGTGCGCCTGTGTATGCACGTATGTGTGTATGTGCACGTGTGTGTGCATGCGTGTGTGTGCATGTGTGCGTGTGTGTGCATGTGTGTGCGTGTGTACGTGTGTGTGCATGTGTTTGTGTGCAGGCAGCTCAGGGCCCAGCCTTGGAGGGCGACCAACCCCTGCATGGGCTGTTGTCCCCTAGGTGTGAGTTCTGTCTCTGCAGACAGCAGGCCCGAGGGGTGAGTCTGCTGCCTGCCCCCCTCTCCGGCACGCCTGTGCCCTCTGGCCTATGGGTTCCAGAGGGTCTCTCCGTCCCTTACTGTTGCTCTGTGGTTCTTTCTGCCTGCGTGGCTTTCCCTCTTCTTGTCAGGAATCCCTCTGCCTGCGGTGTGCCCCCTGGGATCTCTTAGTCTCTGTGTCTGTCGCTGTGTCTCTGCCTCTCCATCGCTTTCTCTTTGTGTCCCTCTCTCTCTCTCTCTTTGTGTCTCTCTGTCACCGCGTCTCTGTCTTTCTGTCTGTGTTTCTCTCTG